GACTGCATTATTGTAGGCAACTTCTGCAAAAGGAAGTAAGTCCGTCCAATCACTCTGTTGGAAATTTAAAAAACATCTCAAATATTGCTCAAGTACCGAATGGCACCGTTCCGTTTGTCCATCCCCTGGTGGATGATGGCTAGATGTCAGTCCCTGAGTGGTCCCTAAGAGGGATAAAAATTCCTTCCAAAATGCAGACGTAAATTGCACTCCCCTATCATAGATGATGCGTTGGGGTGCCCCGTGCAATCTGTAAATGTGCTGGATGAAAAGTTTTGCTAAGGCCTTTGCAGTGGGAATCTTTTGGCAAGGGATAAAGTGCACCTGTTTGGAAAATAAGTCTGTGACTGTCCAGATAACAGTATTCCCATTGCTTTCTGGCAATTCCACTATAAAATCCATGGCTATTTCCCTCCAGGGGGCTGAGGGACTTGCCACTGGTTGTAATAGCCCTGGCGATTTCCCTTGCAACCTCTTTGCGATGCACAGGTTGGGCAGCTGGCAACATAACTTTCTATGTCCTTTTTTATTGATGGCCACCAAAATTGCCGTTTAATTAAGTGTAAAGTTTTTACAAATCCAAAATGCCCTGCTGATTTTGTGTCATGGCAAAGCTGCATGAAAGTTATTCTTTGAGTTGTTGGTATATATAACTTTTCCCCTACCCAGGCAACCCGTCTCTCATTGTGCACACATTTTTGTTTTTCTGGAACCATTCATCTGTTTCCAACTTTTTCTGAATTCAATCCCAGTTTGGCTGTCCAGTTGTGGTTTTATTTTGGCTTGGGTTCTTGTGGTTACTGGTGCTGCCAGTTGTGACTCTGCCATTATTGGTCTAGAGTCTGTGGTTCGTGCGCTGTTATATTGGGGCATGCGAGATAGAGCATCTGCCAGGAAGTTCTTTCTTCCTGGTAAATGTTTGAGCTTAAATTGGAATTGGTGAAAATGCTGGGACCAGCGGGCTTGTTTGGGATTGAGTTTCCTGGAAGTTTTCAGGGCTTCTAAATTTTTGTGATCAGTCCACACCTGGAAGGGGATTTTGTTGCCTTCCAGGAACTGTCGCCACGTGAGTAATGCCCAACGTATCCCATAAGCCTCCTTCTCCCATACGGGCCAGCGCTGTTCTGTTTCCGTGAGTTTCTTGGATGTATATGCACAGGGTTGCAATACTGCATCATCATTTTCTTGTAATAGCACAGCCCCCACTGCCACATCACTTGCATCTGCCTGTATTATGAAGGGCTTGTCCATGTCTGGGTGCCTTAGTACTGGTTCGGCAGAAAAAAGTCTCTTTAGTCTCTCAAACGCTGCTTGGCACTCCATTGTCCATGTTAGTGGCTGGCTAGGTTTTACTGAGGATGCTCCCTTCGTTTTTAGTAAGTTAGTGAGGGGCAAGGCTATCTGGGCAAATGAGGGGATGAATTGGCGGTAAAAGTTTGCAAAGCCCAGGAAACTTTGTAGTTGCTTTCTTGTGCGGGGTGGCGCCCAATCTAATACTGCTTTGACCTTCTCTGGGTCCATTTCAATGCCCTGTGGGGATATGCGATAGCCTAGGTAGTCTATCCTTTCCTGGTGGAATTCGCATTTTGAGAGTTTGGCATATAGGTGAGCGGCTCGCAGCTTCTTTAAAACCGCTCTGACAAGTTTGACGTGTTCTTCTTTTGTTTCAGTAAAGATAAGAATGTCGTCCAAGTAAACAAGGACCCCCTTAAACAGGTGCTCCCTTAGAACGTCATTGATTAATTGCATAAAGACTGCAGGGCCCCCTTGTAATCCAAATGGCAAGACTTTGAATTGATAGCACCCCATGGGGCAGTTAAATGCAGTCTTCCATTCGTCCCCTTCCTTGATTCTCACGCGATAGTAAGCTTCCCTTAAGTCTAGTTTAGAAAAAATTTTCCCTTTCGATAGGTGTGACAGCATGTCTTTCATGAGGGGCAGAGGGTATAGGTTGCTTTCACTGATTGTATTCAGGGCCCTATAATCCACGCATAAACGTAAAGAGCCATCCTTCTTCTCTCTAAAAAGGACCGGGGCAGCCACTTTAGGCTTGGCTGGCTCAATGAAACCTCTCTCTAGGTTTTTTTTTATAAATCTTTCCATTTCCTCCTTCTCCTTTGGGCTCATGGAGTATAATCTGGGCTTCGGGAGTTTTGCCCCAGGCTTGAATTCAATGGTACAGTCTGTGGGTCGGTGGGGGGGAAGCTCATTCGCCCTTTCCTCACTGAAGACTTCAGCAAGGTCCCTATATTCCTCTGGTATTTCTGTTAATCTTTTTTCCTCTCCTATGGATGCTTTTTCTATTCTTGATTCCGGTAGCCTCCCTTGGGGTTTTAAGTCCATAGGGTCCCCCTTCGGGAATTTGATTTCTGTCGTCCTCCAATTTATCCAGGGATTCTATTTTTTCAACCATTCCATCCCTAGAATCATTGGGCATTCCATACCTGGGGTCAGCACAAACGTTATGTCCTCTTCATGGTTGTCCAGGGAGAGGTGTATTGGCAGAGTGGCTAGGGTAGCTGGCACCCCCCCTGCTATGGATCCATCTAGCTGGCCAAATGAGATTGGTTGTTCCAGTCTCCCGGATGGGATGCCCAGATTCCCCACTAGTGTTCGGCTAATGAGGCAGCGGGTGCAGCCAGAGTCTATTAAGGCTTTCACCTTCACAGCTTCGGGCATGGGGGGGGATTAATATAGTCACTGTTTTGAAGATGGGTGTGATGCATCCACTTACCAGGGTTTCGCCCTCCGAGCTGTCATCTGAGGCATCCACCGGCCCTGTGGTGTAGGCTGGAGTTCTTTCCCCTTGGTGAGCAGAAGTGGGGGGTTCTGCAATTTCCATCATTCTCATGGCCGTTTCTTTTGGCTTAGCTGAAGACTTTCCGGATTTGTTGAGTGGGGATCTGTCTGGGTTGTGCTGGGGGGCCTTTGAGCGGCATTCTACAGCTCGATGCCCTTCTCTTCCGCACTTGAAACACCCCATTTGCTTCTTGGCTGTATCCGATGATTTCACCGGTTGGTGTGTCAGCTCAGGCGGGGGGGCGGCTCCATTGTTTTCCTCGGCGGTGCCTCTTCAATATGTCGATCTCCGCTTCCTCTGCCAAGACATACCATTCCTCAAGTCGATGTGGGTCCCCTCGGGGCAGGCAAGCATCATATAGATCATAGTTTAGTCCGTCTTTGAAATGGCCAAGGAGGATGTCTTCTGGCCAATTCAGTTTGCTGGCAATGGCCCGGAATTCTTGTGTATACTCAGCCACCGGGCGTTTGCCTTGCCTCATCATTTTTATCCTTTCACGGGCTTTGCGATCAGCCAGGGGGTCTTCAAATCGTCTTCTCAAAGAGGACATGAAACGGTTGAAGTTACTGAGTTCTGGGGCATTGGAGTCATGCAAGTTCACCACACAATCTGCAGCTGGTCCATCCAGGGCAGATTGCACGATCCGGATGCGGGCTTTGTCGCTGGGAATGTCCTGCCCATATTCCTCCATGTAGCTGAGGACTTGGGTTAGGAAAACCCCAAGCGTGTTGGCTCCCCTTTGAATTTCAACTCCAACGGTGGATGTCTTGGAATGGATCGGTACCTCCATTGTTGGTGGTAGTGTCTTCCGTCCAGATTGCCATCTGTGGTCCGGTAGGGGGTGGGGGCTCCTGGATCAGTAGATGTCCCTGGGGTTGCAGGTTCCACGTCCCCCTCGGTGTCTCTCCCTTTGCGGCTCCAGGAGCTGGGGCGGCCGTAGGGCTCAGTATTCTTCTCTCCTAGGAAGCTGAGAGTTCTCTTCATCAGGTCAATAGCTTTCTCTAGGATCCAGTCTGAGTACGGTGCCCAGCTTCCTCCCTCTTCACTTGCGTGCAGGGATTTCTCCATCTCCTGCTTCCATTCTGGTTGCTTGGTCCCCCGTCTCAGGGTCACCTTTCTTGATTCCTTTCCCCACTCACTTTTCTTTCCAACGCCCATTGACCAGCGAGGCTTATGGTCCCATGTCTCCACCACTTCTTCTCCCGAGGAATCTGACCTCTCGGATCCCAACATCTGGCAAGGTTCCAACTAGGTCAGCGGCTCTCTTTCCAGGGAGTTTTCCCTCTCTCTTGCTCCATTGTCTGACATGGTAAATTTTTGCAAAATCCCCCGGCAAGGGTCTCCCTTCCAGGTGGATTAATTTTGCAAGTCCTGTCTAAGGTAAGGACCCACCCCACTTTGCATCTTAAGAAGACAGAACTCTTGGAATAATTCTTCCAACAGGAATCCTTTATTAAGAAGAAGTGGTTGCAGGCATGCTAGACAGGACTTGGGGTCCAAGCTCTCCCATTCAAGGTTTTAAGGGGTTCCCCAGCAGTCCCACCCAATCACCCCCCCTTCCAGTGATAGTTTCAGGCATCACAATTCCACCCCCTTGCTCCTTTCTTTCGTCTGTATGGAGACTTCAGATAACTACATGAAAGGTAAATAGCTCTCTTTTGTCATGGTAAGGTTCTTTGATGCTATTTACATTCAAAGTCTCTCTTTGATGTTGCAATAAACACATTCAGCTCCTTAGCAGTCTACTGAAGGAAGTGAGGGCCATAAAGCCCCTTTGTTCTCCCCCTTCTCTCCCTCTTATGGCAGAATCCAGAGAAGGCAGAATTGGGAGTTTCTATATTTGATAATTAAAGATGAAATATAATTGGATTCTGACAGCTGGTCTTCTTTGTTGCAGCTGTTATGCATTGCTTTATTATTTCTAGTGCTTCAGAAGGAAATAACAAATAACAACAGTGTGCTTTCCTAAAACCTGGCATGGATCTGGCAAGTTTTCCCTTGGAAAATAATTTTATGGCATGTTCGTTTTTGACTTTGGTAATCATTAGCTCACTCTTTTCCAACAAAAGCATGTCATTCATTGTGAAATATCTTTTTTCCCTGGGACTGATGTTTTATCTTGGTGAAGGTGGGAAAACAGTTAGAGGAAGTTACAGGAAGATGTATTCTCTTTTCATTTCAAATTGGACTATCTTTATAGGAACAGCCGTAGTGGATTCCCCTCCCTGAGTCCACTCTCTCCCCAAGAGATATTCCAGTTGGCATGTATGGATTCAGCCCATGGAGAGTACCAAGAACAGCAATCTCTGGTAAATAAATGTACCATTTATTAAAAATGCTTGTCTGCTTTTCATTGATTTCAGAAAAGCAGTTCAAGTGAAATTGTGTCTGTACTGTTGAAAAAACTTATTGATTGCAAGTGGTGTTATATTATTATATTATATAATTATATTATATCACATTTATAAATATATTGAATAATATATTGCATATATTGTATGCTGTATATTGTATACACTATTATACAATGCATATACAATATGTAATGATATTCTATTGCATTATATTATTGTATGATATATTATAATGTCTATTTTATTAATCTTACTAATCTTACTTTATTTTCCTGTCTCGATTTAGGAAGCCTCATATTCCCAGAAAATACCTTATCTTTGACTATGTTATTTATTTATTTATTTAGAAATTTTATATTGCCAAGCCATTAAAGACTTTAAAGGTGACAACCAGCACCTTGAATTGCACCCGGAAGCAAATCAGCATCCAACGTAGTTCCAGCAGGAGAAATGATACATGTGCACACCAAGGTCTCCACAAAACCCTGCGGGTTGCTGCATTTTGCACCAACTGGAGCTTCCAGATGCTCTTCTTGGGCAGCCTCATGTGGAGTGCATTATGAAAGACAGGAGATGACTAGGGCATAAATGACCATGAGTAGGTATTGTTGGTCCAGGAAAAGGTATAACTGGTGCACAACCCACAGTTGCACAAAGGCACTCCTGGCCACGACTGCCACCTGCTCTTTGAGCCGGAATCATGAGTCCAGGAGAACCCACAGTTTATACACAGGATCTGTTTGGGGCAATGCCACCCCATCTAAGACAAAAGGTGGCAGTTCTCCATGGATCAAAGAACCCCAAACCCAGAGTAACTCAGTCTTGCCAGGATTCAGTTTCAACCCGTTGCTCCCCCTCCAAACCCCTAACAGCCTCCAGGCACTATGAGAGGGAGATCACAGGCTGAGACATAAAGCATATTGATGATATCTCAGTCCATGGTGACGGATGATCTCACCCAATGATTTCACATAGATGCTGAATAGGAGCGGAGAGAGTACCAAGCCCTGCGGGACCCTGCAAAGCAGTGGGTGAGGGCTGAATCTCTCACCTCCTATTAACACCAACTGAGAGTGGCTACAGAAGGAGGAAGTGAACCAGGATAGCACAGAGCCCCCCACTCCCAACCCCCGAAGCTTCTCCAGGATACCATAGTTGATGGTATCGAAAGCCACCAAGAGGTCAAAGAGAGCAAGGATAGATACACTACCCCCTTCAGCTCCCACCAGAAATCATAAAAAAGTGCAACCCATATCCAGGCCTGAATCCTGACTGGTAGCACTCTAGATAATCCATTTCATCCAGAAACCTGGAGCTGCCGCATAACCACCTTCTCAACCACCTTTCCTAAAAAGGGAAGATTGGAGATAGGTCAGAAATTATCCAACTGGGTGGAATCCAACAATGACAATTTAAGAAGAGGGCAGTCCACAGCCTCCTTAAAGTGCTGGAGCATTACCCCCTCCTGTAGAGAAGCATTAATCACCACTAGAGTCTACCACCTGTCACCTCCCGGGAAGCTTTCACAAGCCAGGAGGGATATGGGTCTAAAACACAGGTGCTGGCATGCATAATCCTGTCCACTTCCTCAGGAGCAACAGGATCAAACTGTTCCCAGATAACAGGGCAAGAACCTGCCTCAGAGGCCTCCGTCAGACCAGAAACCATACCAGTATATAACTGGGAACAAAGTTGAGCTATTTTGTCTTCCAGAAAATCTGCAAATTCCTCAGCACACCCCTTCAGGTGGACCTCAGTCTCCTTCCCCAGGAGGAGACGGCTCACCTAAAAGAGTGTCACTGGTCAATTATCTGCAGATGCAACTAGTGCGGAGAAGTATTTGCACTTCACCACACAAATCACCACAAGGTAGGCCTTAATAGCAGCTCTTACCCATGTTTAATCGAGTTCATCCTTTTTCTTCCACCAGTGGTGCTCTAGATGTCTCTTCTTCCATTTCATCCCTCTCAGTTCCTCTGTATACCACAGAGGGCAGAGAGGTCTATGGATGAGGATAGGTTGCATGGATACAATCCTACCCAGAGTCTCAGTCACCTTCCTATTCTAAACAGTGAATAAGAGCTCAACTGGACTGTGCAGGAGATCTGCAGTTATAACCCCCAGGTCCTTCTGGAACCTATCTGGGTCCAGTAGTTGATGGGGGGGGGGGTAAACTAATCTAATAGGTCTTGCCTTCCTGAGGCGGGTACAGCTCTCAAGAAACTCATTGCCACCAGACTGTGATCTGGCCATGACAGGGAGACCAAAGATAAATCCATCAATTCCAGGTCCCTTAGGCAGTGCTCCAACAAGAACACTAAATCGGGTGTGTGACCACTATTCCTAGTCAGGCCCTGGATAACCTGGGACAGACCCATTTCATGGTTTCCATGAAATCCCAGGCTACCTCTGACCCCACCCAGGGATGGCAGATTGAAGTCCCTCAGAACTATAAGCCTGGGGGACCCCACTGCCAGGCCTGCAGTGAGGTCCAGGAGCCTAGATAGGGAAGCTGCCACAGAGCAGGGAGGCTGGTACAGCAGCAGCAATCCCACCTGATTCTTTGAGCCCAACCTAAAAAAAAAGGTCTCACAGCTGGGCACTTGTGAAGCCATGCCCCTGGAGGCTGCCAGAGATTCTCTGATAACAACAGCCACACCCCCTCCCCAGACCTGTGCTGCCATGCTCAATAATCACTGGGCACATTTCTGAGAGGGGACTACCTCCCTCTGGGCCAGCCAGGTTTCAGTTATACAAGCCAGATTATTTTTTTTCCAAAGCTCTTCTGTGGAATATAATATTGAAACTGGGTCATCTCAAATAGTTAATAATTATAACCCTGAAATGCTGATAGTCCTAGAAAGAGATCCTGATAGTTATATTTAGGTCTTTGTAGATCCTGTTGATGAAACTTTCACCATAACAATGTGCTGCTTCACTATTAGACATTAACAGAGAAGATTTTTGGTAGGCAAGAATTCATCCATTCTGGATAAGAAGAATAGATCTATTGCAGTAACATACATAACCATTACTTTTGCTATCAGAATTAGTAACAATCCTTTTTTTAAAAAATATGGATTTGTTTATTGTCAGTTTAATCTCAGTTTAATTGGTCAGTATTCCATGAGAGATTCATTGCTGAGGTTTTGGTCACCTCATATATAATTCGTAAAATTACTGCTCAAATAGATACCCTAGTATCTACTTCATCTTAGGTTTCCTAGATGAAAACGTGGAAGCATACTACAGAACTTATTTTTTCTTTTGTCATTGTGGATTTCTAGAGATCTAGAAGTATACAATCCAGTGCTGGGATTCAGCCAGTTCTCACCATTTCGGCAGAACTGGTAGCTAATTTTTTGATGCCCAGGCCCAGAATGGACTTCCAGAAGTGGCATCCACATAGAGAACCGGTTGTTCACATATTTGAATCCCACCACTGGTACAATCTATGGAGATGTTAAAAGACAATTAACTATTTAATAATAGTGAGAATTAGGCATTGCAGGAAGTTTGATCGAATTATGGTGATGGTAAATATTTTAAGTTATAAAGAGGTATATGTTGCAAAGATTTAGTAAAATAGCTATTACATAAAATATACTCAACTATCATTAAGCAAGTTATATTTTCAAGGTACCGTACTATCAATGTTAGAAATGCAATTTTTGACTTTATGTTTGTTACAGTTGTTAATTCTGATTATTGTTTACTGATTGGTTTGTTCTCATTGCATATAATCATTTCATCAGGTGGGTTATTCAGCGATAAACAACAATAGACAGTGTTTGGGGGCTTTTGTTCATTTTTTCTTCTATTGCCAGTGTTCATGTTCGAAAACCAAATTGTTGAATCATATCACACAAATGTGAATTACATACCTCTGACCCACACTTGCAGCCACCTTATTACCCGGTGGCATTCATGTCTGCATATGTAAATGTGTGTGTGTGTGTGTGTGCACACATTCATGCACCACCTTTGTTGAAATCCAATGCTGAATAATTGTGCATTTATTTCCACTCTTCTCTGTGTGCTTCTCAGAATGTTGCACTCTATCCATAAATTTTGTATTACACGCACATACATACATTATGCCTTTTTAGACTTTCTGTGCTTGAAAAGAACACATAAGCAATCTTTTGTCAGACTTCTGTTTGGAGACTGATATACTATTCCTAATTTTTTTTTTACCTAACAACAATAAAAATTTATTTGGATCATTGAGCATAACAAAAGATAAACAGCGAAAGCATTACATAAGCATCTAAAAAATTGATTTGGGGGATATTCCTGACAAAGCTTTTACTGATGATTAAGTAGATGGATGGTTCATGAACCAGCAGTCTTTAAAAAACAAATCACTGAGGCATTGGGCCAGATTTAAATCAGGAAGGCACTTACATCTAATCCTGAAATTGGGTTTAATTTTTATTTATTTTAATCCAAACTTGATGTCTGAATGCAAGAAAATGTATGCTGAAAAAGCAGGCAGTCTGAATTTCCCTGATTTGTTAGACTGAAATGAGTATATTTTTTAAGCACTACAGATATAGTTACTGTTTGTAATTGTGTTAAACACATCCAGCATCCTTAAGAAAGGTAGGTTCATTCTCTCTTGCCAACAAAAAGCATTCACTATGCTTCCTTTAAACCCTGTTCTCAAGCCATTCCCACCACATGGATAGAAACAACGCCAGCAGAAAATGGCAAGCAGTATAACCAAATGAAATCCCATGAGTTTGGCTGTGTGTTTATTTCCAGGAGCCAGAAATTAGAGAGCTTAAAAGAGTGCAGCCCTCTAACTGTGGCAGTTATCTCCCGGTGGATACTCAGGAACGAGCTGTATCTGGGAGGGCTTCTTCCATGCCACGCCTGACTGTGGATCCCCAGGTAAAAGCAGGTGAAACAGTGACTAACAATAGGACTATATCATTACAGGAGACCAATAACCCTTTCCTACAGGAGGTTTTTGCTTTATTTGAACAGTGAAACAGACTGAAATGTCACTGATACCAATTCAATTGGCTCCCTATGAATGTGAAACATTCCTTTAATTCTAGTATTATAGATTCTGAACACAGTGCCCCAATGAGACAAGGAAGACTCCAATCCTGTTTTACAGATGGAAGTTGGAATATCTGTCCTGAACTACAACAATGCAAATCATTATAATTAAGTCTCTCTTAATTTGCCCGGCTACAACCTTAATCAGTCCATAACCTTCTTCCAAGACTTCAGTGACCCTGGACAGTAGAGATTGGAGAGAGCCATCTTCCTGTTCTATTTCAACCAAGCCTATTGTCGATTATAGCAAGAATCCCAACCATTTGAAATAATCCTTCTACTTCTGTCATCTGGATGTATTTTTCCCTTTAAACTTAGCCACTTTCTCTTTCAAGCTTCATTGTCCTAATATACTTGTTTACATGCCTGCTGCCAAGTATCCTGTCCTGGTCAGTCTTGGCCATAATCCACGTATTTGTCTGTTGAGCAGATTTTTTTTCTGTTTGTCTGTCTTGTAATCAGTTTTGATTAACAGAGAGATAAAATACCTTCTCAGGTTTGTAATCATAATTTATACATTTTTTCAGTGATCAAGATTTCGATATCAGATTCTCCCACTCTGAAGGCACTTGGGCTGGGTTATTCTCCCATTGCTTGGAAAAGGAAATTGAGAAAGAAATAATGGCCTGTTCCATACAGTATCCATGTTCCGGCCCAAAGATGGCCCACATACTGTTGACCTCTTATTACCCACAAACTCCTGAGATAAGCTGAAGCCAGTATAAATGATCTAGCCTGGAAGTAGCATTTTCCTTGGGAAGAAAGGAGAAGATTCCCATATAAATAAAGTCTCATGGAGAAGGAAGGGATCTGAAATTCTGAACTCCAGTTTACTTGCTGCAGAACTTCATTTTCCTTTCTGGCTGCCAGACTTTTTGTCCCCATGATCACTGTTATGTGGACAACAATGTTGCCAGACAGAGTAAAAGATACATTATGGGGCAGAATTTTTCATATTTCCCTGTCTCAAAGGTTCTGTGTATGAGTCCAAAGTCTTGTAGTTTTTGCAGATTTGTTAGATTATTAAATTATCAATCTGATATTGGTATTACTATCAGCATCACATAACCTAATCAGTTTTTCTCTTCTATCTCTCCTTGTATCATACTTTCCAGTTGTACAAAACTCAAATGTTTCCCTACCCTGAAATTCCAGTACTTTGATATAAATAGGGCTTCTGTGAAGCATTGCTTTGGAAAAAGTAGAATCAGTGGAAAGGAAAGAAGAGGAAATTTTGAGATTCAAAAAACATAAAAAGTAAAACAAGCAGACAAAGGGTCAGGAAGCAGGCTGAGAATGGATACCATGAAATTGCAAGTTAGATGAGTAAATAATATTAAACAAAGCTTTATTTTCATTTAGTACAACAAAGGCCTAGTATCAAAGTGATAAATGTAAGGCTGAATTGTTCCACTTGAGTCTTCAAGAGTGGAGCCATATAAATAAAATATGAAGGAAATACCTAGAATCTAGAACTCAGCTGTTAGAAGGAAGACTAGAGTAAAGCTCTTTTCCCGATGACATGTAATTTTTCTGTATATAGGCAAAGCTTGTGTATGGAAAGTAATTTGGCCACGTGAAGTCTAAGCTGCAAATTGAATTAATTGGAACGATAGATTATTACTTTGAATTAATACAAGCCAGATACAGAGTAATTAATTCACAGGAAAAATAGATCATACAAGGATTACTCTGAATACTCTGAATCATATTCAGAGTATGATTCAGATCATAATCTGAATTTTGGATGGCTTTAAGTATACAATAATGCCCAATAGCAATTTTGGATAATGGACATTTTGTTCTCTTGCAAAAATTGCAGTAGAATTCCTTTTTATCCTTCCTTTTCTAGCTTTTCTTCCCTTTCTTTTGAACTTATCAATTTCAGTAGACTTATTGCAATTCAGATTTTGTTCCAAGACTTAATTTTAGCTGACAAATCTATTTCTAGGTAAGCTAGAGAAAGCTATTGTTCTATATGTACAAATGTCCTTGTAAAGTGAAAAAAAACAGTCTGTTTCCCTGAAGTATTTCCCCTTTTAAAACTAAATACTTTTTTAAAAAGTCAAGATTCTATGTCTTATTTTAATGTTAGCAGGAGAGAGTGTCAGTACGGTACAGTGGTTAAGATATTGCAGATTCTAGTCTACCCTCAGCCACAGAAGTTCATGGGATAACTTTGGCCTAATTACTGTCTCTCAGTTCAACCTATCCCAAGGGTTGTGGCTGTGAGGAACATAAGGAGAGGAGTGTTATGTATAAAACCTTGAAATCCTGAACATTAATCAATCAGTAAGCAAGGCACCATTACTGATTAAGCTAGGCCATATTACAGGCATGCTAATACTGGAAGAAATGATTAAGTTCTTCTCTGCCAGTCCTGATCTCTCTCAGTAGAAAATAGTGAAAGGTGCATTTCAGAACATATTTAAAATTAATTTCCAGACTCCCCTAGAGTGTATTTCATAATTATGTGAAATAGTTTGGCTTATATTCATTCAGTTCAAAAGAATAGACTCTCTTTTAGCCTAACACCATTAGCCTATGTGGATTTAACATCTGATCTATCAACCTCTCTCATTTCAAGCAGATTTAAAAGTATGTAGGTCAAGCTGTCCGACCAAAATTCTCAGTCCTTGTTGTTTAGGCAATAGATCTGGGATGTGAAGATTTGAGTAACTAAGCAATGAATTAGATGACATCAAGAACATGACTAACATGGGTTCTGCTCTGCCTGAAAAGTGAACAGAGTTCCCCAAAGAGTTGGTGGTGTTATTACTCCTGTTACAATTTGCAAGGACTTCTGTTGCTATAGAAACAGGTGTGCTTTACACTGTTGTGTTGAATGGGAGACCCTAGATGAATATTAGAAAGGATAGTCCCAGTCCAAGCTCTTGGTCTCTGATGGGATCTATGCAGAATTGGGAAAATGGTCCCCAACATAAAAACTATCATCCCAGAGGTATTCCACCTTGATGGGCAAGCCAAATGCTTCCTTTATGAGAACTAGTTTTGGTACCAGGCTAGAAACCAGGAGAATGTCAGTTCTAGCTCCACCTTAGGCATGACAGCTGGCTCGGTAACTTTGAATTAATCACACTTTCCAGCCCAATCACAGGATTGTTGTTGTGGAGAAAATAGGAGGAGGAAGGACTGTTAAGTATGTTAGCCACCTTGAGTTATTTATAAAAATAATAAGAAGATTGGCTGCTTGGCATGAAAGTCAGAGCAATAGCAATAACAATTAGACTTATATACCGCTTCACAATGTTTTACAGCCCTTTTTAAGCGGTTTACGGAGTCAGCATTTTGCCCCCAACTATATGGGTCCTCATTTTTCCGACCTCAGAAGTATAGAAGGCTGAGTCAACCTTGAGCCCAGTGAGACGAACTGCCAAACTGCTGTCAGCTGGCAATCAGTGGATGTAGCCTGCAATACTGCATTCTAATCACTGCACCACCAGAGAACAGTGTGATGCAGTCAGTTACTGTCCAGTAGATGAACGCTGATAGGCTGAAACCTTTGTGCGCTCTTTGAATGAGGAAGACAAGCTTTGATTGACTTTTGGTCCTCTGTGGGCACTATAGGCTGAGAAAAACTAAATATGCTGACTCCTACATCCTGATCACTTAAAAAGAGCAAAATGTTCAACCATGCATCATTTCAATTCAAATCTTCAATGCAGAAGCTTTGGGCAGTGCAAAACCTGATTATGTGAAAGTGCTCATTATCTGTCTATAAAACCGAATTTGTTCTGCTTCTACTTATTTCATTACTCACAAGAGTACAAAGATGCAAACACTGTAGGGCCTATGGCATGGGTAGGCAACCTCAGGCTATGCTGACTCAGTAATTCTGGGAGTTGAAGTCATAAAAGAGCTGAGGTTGCCTACCCCTGGCCTAGGGGAAGGCAAAATAGATAAGCTTATATTAGCCAAAACAAATAGTAACAAAGGTGTTATATCCTCCACATCTCTCTGATATTAAAATGTCTTCATACTTAGCCAAATGAGATAACTCCCTGTGAGAACAACTATACTTAACTAGCAAATCCAGCTGCTGAAACCAGCAGTCATTTGCAAACCTTTAATCCTTCTTCCATTCTGGGATACATTTCTAGGTAGTAACAGATCCTGGCTCCATGAGACGCTCATTTTCTACCATCCGAGATAAACGGACAAATTCCTCCTGGCTGGATGAGTTCTCAATGGAAAGGAGCAGTGAAAATACCTACAAGTCTCGTCGTCGCAGTTACCATTCTGCACTGCACCTGTCTTCACGCCGTCTCAACACAGATTCAGGTAACTGAGGATGAGTGGGACTTTTTAAAATACTTCTTAAGGATGAAATAAACTGGACTCTTCTGAAGCCACCAAATGATTATCTTTCTCCAACAAAATTGAGTAAAGTTAGAAAACACTAGGGCTATGCGCAGATCTGGATATGAACTCACCATGTCTTTCCTAGGATCAAAAGTCAACCCAGGTGATGATGCAGCTGTTTTAAAGAGTTTCCATCAGGTATTACATGCACAGCCACACACTCTCTGAATTGTTCTTCGTCTTTTGAGTCTGGATCTTTGCACCGCCTCAAAAATGCAGACTGCTTGTTGAAAGACTACTTCTTACATGGATAGGGTTTTTTTAATTAAAAGTTTTAAAGGTTTTATACAATATATACCCCAAATCCCTCCCCCCTTCCCCCACTTCCCAGAGCTGATTACAGGGTTACAATTAAACAATCATAATCTAACTAACATTACCCAACTATACAAACAATCAAATCCATAACATACTTTAACTCCTTTTCAAAATAAATATTAACAAATTAAATACAAAAATAATAATATAATTAAACCATAAAACTAAAACTAATATAAATTCTACCATATTAAACTATTAATAATAATCTAAAATTTACTCATAAGATAGATAATACTTTTTAGTCTCATATTTATTCTGAATATAATCTATCGATCTTCTCCAAACCGAGATATATCTTTCTTGTGAGTAATTCTTCAAATAACACATGGATAGTTTTTAAATAGGATCTATTTTAAATCATCATCTCTTGCTCAGCTTTGCTAGTTCTATACTATCTAAAATATGTTATTACTCTTACAGATAGCATTGCTTTTCAACTGCTAATGGGCCCTCACCCATCTAAAAGCTAATTTATTCAAGTTCCAATTAAATTGTATGACTTAATTATAATAGCCTTTTTTCAACACATGTCGTAGAAAAGGCATTAACTGAAATGCAGGATATAGTATTTGATATACAAAAGTAAGATTTTTGAGCCCACCAGAAAGAACGTGGTAATAAACTCTTGGCATGAATTTATTTTCCATAATATTTTTTTTGTAGAAACGACACTGTGTTAATTAAAATATAAAAGATAAGATAATATTTTCTGGAATGATTTCCATTGTGTCAAATTTCTCAGCTTTGAAATATCACTAATAAATGGAAATTTTTCCATATTAACAAAATGAGCAGTTTCTAACAAAAATGTTAGTCACTCTGTAGCAGCCACATGTTGTCTCTCAGATTGCTTTTTATATTTTGCCTTTTTATTTATTCATATAGCCCCATAAGTGTTCTTAACAATTTATGACTCATTTAAGAATATGAATGCAGGAAGCAACCTTAATTTGAGACAACCCACTGATCCATCTTACTCAGTACTTAAATTGGGAGGGGTACTTCCCCAGTCTTACTTTGAAATGTCAAGGATAGAACTGGGGTTCTTTTGTGTGCAAAGCTTTGCAGGAGCTTTAAAAATAATTTCGAACTGGAGGAATGGGCAACACACCAACACAAATGAGAGAGATGATTTTCTTTAGGGTTCAGGGTCAGGACAAGATACAAGTAGTCCTCCACTTATGACCACAACTGAGCCCAGAATTTATAGTGCTAAGCAAGACAGTTAAGTGACAGTTAAGTTTTACCCCATTTTACAACCTTTTTTGCCATAGTTATTAAGTGAATCACTGCAGTTGTTAAGTTAGTAACATGATTATTAAATGAATCTGGCTTCGCCATTGACTTTGCGTGTCAGAAGTTCACAAAAGGTGAACACATGACCCTGGGATACTGCAACCGTCATAAATATGAATCAGTTGCCAAGCATCTGAATTTTGATCACGTGACCATGGGGAGGCTGCAATGGTCATAAGTGTGAAAATTGGTCATAACTCACTTTTTATGTCAGCATTATTTGCATATTTCCCCCAATGATCTGGGTCTTCATTTTACCGACTTTGGAAGGATGGAAGACTGAGTCAACCTTGAGCCTCATTAGGATTGAGCTCCTGGCTGTGGGTAGAGTTTGCCTGCAATACTACACTTAACCACTGCTTCACCTGTCAATGTTAACATAGTATGGTTTTCCTGATTCTTCACTTCTTTTTTAAAGATAGAAACACTTTCCTTCTTTATTTCCTATAGTCAAATAAACAATTTTAAAAAAATATAATTATATGTGTGTCTCTGTTTTCCATCCCACTCTGATCTGGGTTTCTCCCCTGCTCTTCCACAAGCATAATTTCTGTTGGAAGATTTTTGTATATGTTTAGCACTTATAGCTAGTTCTGATAAAAATAACAGAACAATAACATTTTGTTCTACAAACAGATTTTCTTTATGTTTACCCAAAACACACTAAACCTTTACATCTTGATTTTAAAAACAATTAAATCACTGAGCTGATTTATCTTTTACTGGCAGAAGAAACTTGCTCCTTTCCTTTCCTTTTTCTTTTCCACACTGAATAATACCTGCCTTGTGTAAAGAAGGGGCTTTGTTTATGAAAGTTGATTTACTGCCTTGTGATAAGATCATTTGATCAGGGTGAGACAATTCCTTTCAACAATAAAAACTTTTTTTTTAACAAACCATCTGCAAGCTAAATTCTGTTATTAAGTAATCAAAATAGTGACCTCAACTAGATGACTTCAGAAGATTATCTTTAAGGACATACAGTTTTAATTTATTAAATTTCTATGCCATTTCCCCTACAAGGTGACTCTGGGTGGCTTACAAATTATAGAAACAAGTAAAAATAGTTAAAATATTAAAACAAACCAACCTTAAAATATTATTAAAAACTGTGTTAAAACTATGCCTACAAGAGCCAAGGGACAGATGGGCCAGGAATGAGGTCTTCTTATCCCACCAGCCACCTCCAGCAGTGAGCGACCCCCTTGGGGCCCCAAGCCAACTGGCGAAGCCAGGTTTTAATACCCTTCTGGAAAGCCAAAAAGGGAGAGTGTAGTTCTCACCTACTGTGGAAGAATGTTCCATAGGGATGGGACTCTTCTCCTTGTGATCTCGCCTGCTTCAATTCCTTACCAGATGGGATCTGTAGCAGACCTCTTCCACTGGCATGAGGAGGAGGATGTTGATCCACTGAATTTTATGGATCCTGTTTTATAGTTGGTGAATTCAGCTTTTCCATTAAATAGGACAGAGTTTTCTACAAATGGGCTAGGAACTCAATAAGAAAAAACTATCAGTTCAGGATCTGCAAAGAAAGGAGGTAATGATTGCACAAAATTCTGGAATATGCCTCAAGAGAGTTTACAGTCCAAATATCAATATGCTCTTAAAATAAATGGATAGCTAAAATGGCTGCATGAAGAACTGTGACCATTATTCCATTTCTTTGCATGTATGAGAAGGAATCGGCTACAATAATATGTACAGCCACTGTTCTTGCTTGACAAAGCCAAATAGAAAGAATTGGAGAAGTTAAGGCAGACATGTCAAACACAAGGCCCAGGGGCCAGATGCGGCCCGCAAAGTGGTTTCATGTGGCCCGCGAAGCCATCCTGGAAAAAGTGAGCGAACGGCCCCCGCTGCCTTGGCCCTGGCCCTGGCCAAGGCAGCCAGGAGCCAATGTACAATTTTGTGGTGGCCATCTATACTGAAACACATTCAGTCTTAGTTCCACAAGGCCATCTGGAAACAGTGAGGAACCAGCCCCTGCCGTGTCGGCCCCGCCCCCTGGGTGTATGCTGGGGAGGTGTCACCCTTTGTGAGGAATGAAGAAATGCACCATCGCCTGAAAGTGGCCAGCAAATGGCCTTCGCCTACTTCACATATCCAGCTTGATGGGCTCTGGAGGAGGGGTTTCGGCAGGCAGTGGGGCGCTCTCCTCACAGTGCCAAGAGCTGAGCCAGGTGGCGTGAATCTGATGAGAATGCTGCCTAGCCCCCAGCCTGCTCAGTTTCAGCAGGCAGCAAGGTGCAAAGCTGGTGAGCTTCACACCATCTGGCTCAGCCTCCCGGCGCTGTGAGGAGAGCACCCGGCTACCTGCTAAAACTGGGCAGGCTGGGGGCTGGGTAGCATTGTGCAGGTAACATTGACTCTCATGCTGCTCATGGCATCCCCTCCCCCAGAGCCCACCAAGCCAGATATGTGAAGTAGGTGAGGGCCATGTACTGGCCACTTCCAGGCGATGCTGCATTTCTTCATTCCTCACAAAGGGTGACACCTCCCCAACAACATTTCTTGCCTGTTTTTCTCCCTCCCACAATTCAAATATTTTCCCACCACTCTGTACTTAGGAAGGAAGGAAGGAAAGGAGAGGGAGGGTCTGAGGGAAGTCCTGCCCTGCTGCCCTTTTACCATCCCCTTGCCCCCTCCTCCTGGCCTATCCTGGGAGTCTCCCATCCTATTGCTAAGGAAACTTTGGATACAAAGCCAGGTCTCTTCCCATGGAGAGGGAATGGGCCTCCCTCTGACTTTGCCCTCCTACCCATCATGAGCAACCTGGGTAAGGAGAGCAAGCACAGCAGCAGCAGCCTTGAGGAGGAGCTACATGTAGCTGAGCACCCCCTTGGGGAAGTGGGGCTGGGCTTGGTGCTGCGGGTGCTCGAGGGCCAGGCTGGGCATTTGACCTCTGCTGCCCAGGGCTCTGGGCAGCCCGCACCACCATCCAGGGCCCCCCACATGGCCTAGAGGAGCATGGCACTTGCCCTGGTCCCATCCCCTTCTGCCAGAGCCCCTCAGATCTGTCCTACTCCTGCCCAGGCCCCCACAGGCACCCTTGACACGAATGATGTAGAGCTGGCCACACCCACCCAGTAGACCACGCCCACTCCATCCACACCCACCCGGTTAGCCGCACCCACCCTGGCCACACCCACCCGGCCCCCCAGAGGGCAACCGCAATGCTGATGCAGCCCTCAATGAAATTGAGTTTGACATCCCTGAGTTAAGGCAATGATTTAACAATACTGAACTAGTGGTGTCCAAATGTAACACCAAAGAAGATTTAATTTGCCAGGACTATAGGCATTTAGTTATATGTTACACTTATACCCCTACTTTTTTTTTAAGCAACCCAGAACAATTTATGTGGTTCTTTCTCCTAGTAGCTTGTCTTTACAGCAGTCTGAGAGGCAATAGCAGTGCCATAGGAAGCTCCATAGTTCAGTAGGAATTTGAACCTGAGTCTAGCCTGATATTCTTCTTCAACTATACCACACTGGCTACTTATAATAAAAGAGCAATGGAAGACCCATGACAAACAATGACATTATTATAACAATGGCTGTAAGCTGATGCAAAACAAATGCAAAAGTAGAATGCTTTAGGCTGTTCTATATACTTTTTAAGTCATAAATATTGTACAGTGAAAGTTAGTAATAGCTTCAATAACAGTGGAATGGTCATGTAAACAGTAAAGGGGTAGAAAAATAAAGTGTAAGGGATAGCTTTTGATTTGATGGAAAGGTTAAGGAAGAGAAAAATATTTCTCACATCAAGCATTATACAGAAGGCAGAAGGCATTCCCAAGTGAGAAATTTTCATGTAATCCTGCCATTTTTTTTATAAATAGGCCATCGATCTGATACACATCGGTCAGGAGGCAGAGAACGAGGCCGTTCCAAGGAACGAAGACATCTACTCTCTCCAGATATTTCTCGTTGCAACTCAGAGGAAAGGAGTCCACAAGCAGATATTGATTCTCCAGAGCGACATCATTCCAGGTCTCCCAGTGAAGGCAGGTCACAAACTCCCAATAGACAGGTGGGTGTAAAACTGACAAAAGATCAATATCTGGAAACATTGGTGAAATGTTTGGAGCAACTTCCTAATATACTTACAAGAAACCTTTTAGAAATGTTTGCTTCCATTTTTGACGAACTATAATATTTAATACCAGATAAATGAAAGTTAGTTTTAGTTATGGTTCACTAGAACAGGCTTTAAACTATAATTAAGATCAATCACAATGTACAATTTTAAAAAAGGGTTCTTCTGTTTTGATTAATATTTTTCAGTCTATGCTAAATATAAATGGAAGCTTTCACTCTGTTTTGCATAGCCATGTTAGAGGGGGATGTGAAATGCACAAAGCAGCTTTTGACAGACTAATTGGTTTTCATTGAGTTAACATGGGGTGAGATCCTGTCAGAAATTAAATTGGATATTCGTGTATAAAAGGCTAGAGTAAGCTAGAAGCATATTACAAGAATGTGGAGGGCAAACAAGGATCCATCCTTTGACCCACAGCCTCAAGGGCTGTAATGCATTGTTTTGGCTAGGGTGAACAACCTGTAGATACTATGAGGGCCTCCATAACGTGTTGGTGCATACAGCAAAGTGACTCTGCAGGCAGCACTGAAGCTCAGATTGGCCTCATAGAACCCACATATTCCTATTATGGTGAAAGTACATTTCCTTACTTGCCATGAAAATCTCTACTCACTCTCTAAATTGTGGCATCAAACGGTTGCCCTTGAATTTCAGTGTTCAGACCCTTAAAACATTATCATAATACCGAAGGACAGATGTCTAGAGGAAGTCAACAAAAATATCCAGAATGATAGAAATTCGTGACTGTTATATTAAGCTTCATGGGGCACAATGGTTCAGCAATTAAAAACACTGAGTTTGTCAACTGGAAAGCTGACAGCCTGGGCTTGAGACCCAAGCGCCATGCAATGGGGTGAGCTCCTGTTACTTGCTCTAGCTCCTGCAAACCTAGCAGTTCGAAAGCCTGCAAATACCAGTAGATAAATAGGTACCAATTCAGTGGGAAGGTGTGTTTTGTGCACTTCAACATATAGTCCTCCTGGCCACAAGATCATGGGAATGTCTTTGGACAATGCTGACTCCCTCAGCTAGAAACAAGAGGGGCAACATCACAGGGGAAACCTTTACCTTTATATTAAGCTTCAGCATTTTCTTTAAATTATGCCTTTTCTATTTTTTTTCCAAATGCCACACTTGACTCATGTGTGGATGGGGTGGATGGGCTTTAAATTATAATACACACTATTGGTTTCTTCAGTTCAGGAAAGATCGGTCAACAGAGACAAAAGTGTTCTCTGCCCTTCCTGCCCTTTCCAGCAGACCCTTTCGTTGAGGCGGGGCCTGGTGTCTGCTGAACATCCCAGAACTCTGTATCTGGCTTTTCCCTTTCTTGTAGGGCACAGGCTCCTTGAGTGAGAGCTCCATCCCTTCTCTGTCTGACACCAGCACACCAAGGCGAAACCGCCGTCAACTCCCTCCAGTGCCACCAAAGCCACGACCCTTCATCTCCTACACTGCTATGATGCAGCACTGTGGTGACACCTCCCCACCACCTGACGACAGTGAGGGGGGCTCCCCTCTGCTTTCTGGGACTCTGGAGACAAACAATACCTGCTTGACTGAGTCTTCCAGCTCCCTCCAGGGAAAGCAGAGCCTTCTCTCCACTCCCCAGCACTACATCTCAGAGCCTTACCTGATGCTCCAGGATGACTCCCACGCTTCAGACTGTGGTGAGGAGGAGACACTCACTTTTGAGGCTGCTGTGGCCACTAGTCTTGGCCGCTCCAACACAATTGCATCGGGGTCCCGCTCTAGGCATGGTTGGCAGATGCCCAATGGGCATTACCGGAGGAGGAGAAGAGGAACGTCACAAAGCATGATATATGGGGCTGGCATCGAAGTACTAAGTGATACGGAAGAAGATGACAAGTGCTAGAAGCAACTTCCTCTCCCCTGTCCCCCTTGATGCATGCTGATTGCCACATTTGAAATGAAATGAAATGGATATCAAATGCAGGGGGAAAAAACAGAGCCATTGTGCAAAACAAAGTCAACTCACAGCTTCTTTGTCTCCCTTCTTTTCTTTTGCACAGAAAAGGTGCACCGGCTTGTTAAATGACAGTGAAACAGGGCAACAGCAACCTTCATCACAAAGCCACCTGACACGGTATCCCCCAAAGCCAAGAGTAAGGAGGGTAGAATTTACTGGAAAAGCAGAGCAAAAAAAATAAGCTAAAGGCTAAAGGTTTTTAAAGCATCGTTTTCCTGCCCCCAGAAAGAAGATCCTTGAGATGGTGGTTGTGGGTGGGATCATGTGAGAGATTCAGGGCTTGAGAAAGGCCTTATCTCTCTTGGGGATCCATCCTACAGGTTGACCAGTAGGACCGGTGAATTCATTGCTGGATCTATGCAGAGCTGCTTCAGGGTGAGATCCTAGCATTGGATCCTTTTGCAGTCCTCTAGACAAGTCAGCTCATTTTTCAAAAACAAACCAAACAACTAATCTTGGGACAGACTTTTAAAAAAAGAATAGGGTGAAAGGAAGGGAGGATAGTCTGGGCAAGAATGAGAAAAACCCTTGGTTTAATGAAAGCAAACTGATGCATAAAGTATCACTATCAGTGTGATAAAGGAGAGAATTGTTATGATCCTAAACGTACTAACCAGTCATTCTTGGGCATATATTCTGAGTTTAGAAAGAATGGAAAGTGTGTATATGTAGAGATTTATTTTAATACATTGGTAAAGGTCAGTGCTAAGGCTATATGTTGTCTGACCTCAGAGATAGGAAGTATTTTTACTCAAATTCTAGAAATACTTATCTGAGACTTCCTCCCCGAAAGAATGATGTATATTGCTGGCACATCCCAGCCTAGGAGTGAAGGCTTTGTGGAGAACACTGGTGCTGATTTTCTCCTTAAATGAGCTTTAAAGTTATTTTTAATTTGGTAGGATAAGAGGGGAGCATGCCAACACTGAACATTTGTGTTTCAGAGGAACTGAGTTGGCTTAGGTTAGGAAGAGGATCTGGTGGGAAAGTTTTTAAGTTTGCTTTTTTTTTTTTTTAAATCTTGAGGCCCACCAGATGTTCTGGGACAGAACTTTTATCCACTCTACAACTTCCCCAGTAAAAAAGAAGAACAGTGAGAATTGTAGTCAAAAACATCCCAACTAAATTGTATGGGAAGTCCAACAATCTCAGTAGTTAACGATGGTAACTTTTCCATCCATGAAAGACCTCAACACAGGGTAGAGGTGATTTCACCCACCCATCCCTTCTTTCATCATCCTCTTATTTTGGTAGGAATGTTCTTTTCTGAGCTGGAAGGCAGGAAGCCCATTAAGACAGTAGGTGGATACATGATCTCCTCCTCTTTAGAGAACTGAAAATAACTGGTATTTTAGTTGGTTACCTAAACAACCATTTGATTCCAATAGCAGCAAAACAAGTTTCCTAAAAAAGCTGAGCATTATTCTTTTCAGGAAGAAGCAAAACAATGCTATTATCCTTTTTCAGAGCAGGATAACAGCCTCCTGATGTTCAACTTGATCCAACAGTTGCCCTCAGCCCAGTTATCAGAACAACAGAATAACAGAGTTGGAAGGGACCTTGGAGGTCTTCTAGTCCAACCCCCTGCTCAGTCAGGAAACCTTACACCATTTCATCCAATCAACTTTACATCATTTCAGACAAATGATTTCCAATTTCTTTTTTAAAACCTCCAGCGTTGGGAGTATTCACAACATCTGAGGTTATTAAATCTGATTTGTTTTTTTACTTTAAAACTCTGGGAGTTACTGATGGGAAATTTGTAATGTGAGTGGTTGGACATGCAGAAAGACATGCTTAAATTTTGTATAGAAGCTCTTTTTTTTCAAGAAGGAAAAGAGATGGGCACTTTTGTGCTAATTTCCTTATTTTCCTAGAGATAGTTTTTTTCATTTACCACGTTCTCTGATCAATTCTCACATAATACAGGGATATCTATCCTAGATTTCATTCTCCACCATGCCTCCTCTTCATTGTTGAGTTGCAATCTAGTTAATCCACCAACATATGTCTCTAGCAATCATTATTCAATTTCTGGAGAGAATTGACTGCGAGAAAGAAGCATTTTTGAGAGCAATCCCAATAAATGATAATGGACAGTGAACCCAACTAACAGGGTGGCATGGGGTTGCCTGCAGGATGTGGTACTTTAAAAAAACAGGCAGAGACTGTTTTTCAATGTCACTGTTGTGGCTGCCATCTTTTTTTGCTAATCCCCCCTGCAGAAAGCCCTGATGTGGCATGGAATAATGGGATGACTCTGCTAGTGCATTGTTGATGCTTACTCATAGTGTTCGGATGTTTAGGTTCATTTGGGGTATTTAAGTTCATTTGCTTGCCTTGCCAATAACACCTGGAAAAAAAATGCTAAATCTATAGGTGTTGTTTGTGCTTTTCAAATGTTGCTTTGGGGAGGAACATAATAACTTCTTACACATTTTCAGCCAGTTGATTCTGAACTGACCAGTAACACCTATCCAGGTTTCTCAAGTGGAGCCTTTGACCAATTCTGCCTGAAGTTACCAGGGATGGAGCCTTCCAGTTTTTAAACATATCCTGTCTCTTTAAACTTAATATGGATCAATGATGGTGCATTTCCCCAAGCTGAATCTGGAACATTCTGGCTGATAGAACAGCATAGAGAGATTTGGCAAAAAGTACAGGATTCTTATTTTAGTTTGTGGCTCTGGCTAAACTAGCCCACATTTTTTTTTCTCCAATATTAAGGTCAGGGAATTCTTCTCCTTAGCCAATCTTTAGCCTAGCCCTAATTAGCCTACTTTCTGCTTCCTCCCTTTTGTAACTCTGTATATCAGTGACTGTCTCATCACCCTAGGATGCACGTCTGGCGTTGAACTGCAGGGGAACATCATACACAGTCATTGTCTCTGATTGTCACATGCCATGTCATGTGGATGATCAGTTTCTGCTTTATCCTTTCTGTCAAATTCATGGGTATTCCCAATCCTGACTTCAAATGGGGAAAACCTGTGCTGCTTAAAATTAGTTATGACCAGATAATTTAATATCTGAGGATTCCTCAAAGGAAAACGATGATAGTAAAACCAAATTGGCTCAGTTTTATCATTATGTGAGTTGATCTTAGACATTGTCTTTGATATAATTAAATCCATTTCTGTTTTATATGGATCTGAAATGTTAACATAATTTATAAAATGGAGCACAATGTATATTTAGCTTTCTTCATACCAAAATTAATAATAGTTTATACTACATACTATAAACAGCATGACAGGATTAGAAGATATTTCAGTTAAATTTGCATTGTCTTAGCCCCATCTTCTTGGAAAGCTGCAATAGTCAGCAGAAGTTCTAGACCAAAAATACACATAATTACCATATCAGATTTTCAAAATCATTTCACAAAATGTTTCTACTTCAGTAGCTCCATCCTATCCCAACCTGTATTTTATATTTTATCATTACTTCGTAAAGCATATGGGAAGACAAATATTAAAATTGATATAACATTCCTGTTTTAAATCTAGAACCATCGTATCTGAGCTGAAAAAAAATGATCTCTAGACGGCAGCAAATAGTTTGCTGCCCCATAGTGGTCACACAATGTCTTGCATCCCAATAGTTCTATTTATGCCATAATCACCTTTCATTCCATTATCACTTTTGTCAAATAAGGTTCTTTGAGGCAGTATGAAAATGTAGAAAGCTGGTTAGACAACTTAAAAAGTAGCTTGGAAAGTGCTTCTCTGATATCATCTCCAACCTGTGAAATAATTATAATCTTTCTTCAACATTTCATCAAGTCTCCTGCTGAATTTTCTCTTCAAGGTGCTTTAGTACTTCCAGGGTTTTTTTTATTTATATATTAATATTCTAAAAGAGATCAACATTAAGGAAAAAAGAGGCACTATTATAGGCATTATAGTAATTTTGTTCTCCAAGAGGGTGTCAAAAATGATATGGCACAATCTGTTTTTAGCTGCTTCTAAACAGTAATATCTACTTATATTTTAGTATTAAAGGTTAAGCACTATTAAAGAATTCCACTTAGCAATTAAAAATAATGAGCCGATACAGGTTAGCTACTTCACGTGTTCTAGCGTACTATATATTTAAAGAAAAATTTATTCTTCACCATGAAATGTTTTATCTCAAATGAATTGCTTCTAATTAAAAATCCATTCAAAGTCAATATTTGCGGCAGTGGAATACTATAAAAGTCATTCTTCACGTGAAGCTATGTGTGCTCTCGCTGAAACATTTTTCCTACTGTTGGCTAACAGTGATGCAAGAAAGGAGAATTAGCAGTCAAGGGAAATGTTTAGTACAATCCTTTTCTATTTGCCTTCCTCCACTAATTGGTCACTTAGGGGAAAACAGAAGGCATGAAATGACCAAGGGAAGAATATGATGAAGGTAATGAATAGTTAAGCATCTCAGTTTACCTCATGAGATAGTTCTTATTTTCCTCCCAGATGGATTAATGACATACACAGTACCTTTTCATCTTCTTTACCCTCAACGCTTCATAGATCTGGTCAGATGGACTAAGACAGGGGTAGGCAACCTTGGCTCTTTTATGACTTGTGGACTTCAATTCCCAGAATTCCTGAGACAGCCATGCTGGCTCAGGAATTCTGGGAGTTGAAGTCCACGAGTCATAAAAGAGCCAAGGTTGCCTAACCCTGGGCTAAGAGAAAGAAAGAAAGAAAGAAAGAAAGAGAGGCATCCTGGATCTTCCTCTAGAGCCTTGTGCTGCACTTTAAGCAAGCGCATTAGCAAGCTCTTGCCTCTTTCACACAGAGATGCTGCTCTCCACATTATAAATCTGGGAAGGTCCTCTTTCCTACCTTGCCTACATTGTAAATTGCAAATAAGCACAGTTAACAACTTAGACTGATAGGTGACCTTCAGCTGGGAAACCACAGGTTAGTGCCAAGCTGTATATCTCAACAACCCTAAGTACAGGTTTCTGCACCAGAGACAGA